GCGGCCCCTGGGCGCGACAGCAGGTCGTCCATGGTTATCTGCTGATGTGCTGGCGCACTCAGGAGCCGGATTGCTTCTGCGACCTGCTCTTGGAGCATGTCCTTATAGTCCTCTTCGGCCTCTTCAGAGTCAGAATGCGCGGGATGGCCCCGCATTTCGTCATCAGCGTCTCCCGCTTCCGAGCCAGCTCGCGGAAGATCTGGCAGCAACGGCATGCCAATCACCTGCGGTGCCAGCGCGGCGGCGAGCTCTTCCTCGGTCGCCGGGACGGTCTCAGCATCGGAGATCTCGTCGTCGGCGGGTGGCCCCGCTGGAAGACCGAACCAGGCATTGAACGCGACCTCGTCGACTTCGTCCCAGCCGTGGAACTCGTCGAAGAGGGTCACCGCGTAGTCTTCCAGGGCTACGGCCACTTCAGCGTAGCGGGCCATCACGTAATACGTGGAGGAGCCCGCGGCGGGAGCCGCTTCTGGATTGACGTAAAACTCGTAGTCAATGTAGTCCATGTCATCCATAAAAGAGTTTTGAGCCAAATGTACGGATCCCTTTCCTTTCCCTTTCGGGCATTGATCGCGCAAATGCTCTGTACTACCGCATGTATGACACTTCATAGTATTGCCAGAAGCGTCCCTAGGGTTGCCCCTCCGCCCTTTTCCCTTACCAGAGGTCCGCCTGTGACCCCGACCTTTGCCTCCGATAAGAACTTCTTCAAAAACTATATCAGTTAAGGACGTGAGGAAAGCAGTAATACCCCTACCATGCATACGGCGTCTGCGACCCCCTTTGCCACGACCCTTTCCATATCGTTTGAAATGTCGGCGTACTGCACGTCTCACTTTTCTGACTGGTTTCTTCATAAAGCGCCTCCAACGGCGTTTTGATTTGCGATAAGCCATAAAAGCGGCTTCCGCTCTTTGTTGTTCAGAAAGGTGAGTGTCATCCGCTGGATAGTCATTACCAGCAGAGACTATGCCATTGTGCTCATCGTCAGATGAGGTATCTGTGTCAGTGCCAGATTCAAACGGTGAGGGTGGCTGAGACCCTTGAGCGGATGACTCCGCTTGGCCCCAGAGGGTTGTGCCCGAGGGCGGGCTTGCAGTGTAGGCGGCGCCTGGCGAGTAGTTCGACCAGGCGTTCGCCTCAGCTGCCTCTGCCGATGCCTGGCCGGTCTGCCCTAAGAAGGCAGTGGCCTCGTTGGGCATATCGGCTGGGTCAGCCCAGGGACTTGGCTCGCCAGGACCAGCGGGTGACCCCGCAGTCGTGGCGTAGACACCTGCATGTGAGTGGTGCCCTGTGAAGATACCCGCAATGTTGCCAGGAGAGCGCTCGGCAACATGTCCGTAGTTCCTCATCCTGGTCAGCAGCCTGTCATAGTCTGCTTGTGTTCTGGGCATCTGATGATTAAAGGGCTCCAGCAGGTGTTGGGCTCGTGACGCGCCAACGCCTAACGCTCTGAAAAGGATCAGCGTTAGGATCTGAAAGTTGGGGATGACAAAGCCAACAGAGTTAGCCTCGTCACGGGCCATCTCGAATCGAGCTAACACTGAGTCGATTCGCTCGCCCCTTTCGACGCGAAAGTCGATAAGGGCAGTGCCAGAGTTGAGCTGGCGCTCATCTTCCAGATTTTCAAATTTGGTGCTCAATAGGTACAGTATATAAGTAACTGCATCCGTTGGCTGTCCATTGACAGTTACACCATAGTTGATGATCTGGGAGGGGACCTGCATGGCGATACGACGAGCAAGACCTTGAAGGCCTCGTTGTAGTGCTGCAGCTTGTTGAGGTGGCGTCATATTGCCGCTCGTTACGTTTATCCATGCATGTACTTCGCGAACGTATTCGCGAAAAGGCGTAGTACCGGCAGGGTCCCACGAAGGGCCGGTAGTACGCGTGTCGTCCATCCCCTGCCGCATGTATCCCACAGCACATCCCATTATTACCCACAGAATGCCGAAGATAGTTATCTTAATCCAGTGCATGTGCATTTCGGCTTCGGTGATTGGTTTAGGCTGTGGTTTGTCAGGCTCTGGCGTAGTAGCCGTGAGGCGCCTGACTGGCACGGGATGCAGGTGGCCCCGCTGCGGGTAGCCCCGCAGGGTGACCACGTTCTCGATCGAGTTGCCGATTGGCATCTGGTGGAAGTCGAGAGTGAAGTAGCGCAGTGAAGTAGGAGAGAGCGTCTCGAGTTCGCGGGTTGCCCCGCTAGCTCGATCGCGGACTGGCTCCGCTCCTCGCAGAGCCGGCGCAACATGGTACTCCACCGTAGTAGTAGTCCACCAAGTTGTGCCGTGGATTACAGGAATCAGAGCGAGAGCCAGCCACACGAGAGTGTAGCCAGCTCCGCTACCAAGTCGAAAACATGCTGGTAAGCTTAGGTATGTGTTACGCTTCAAGCGTTGCCATATCCCAGGCTTTGGCTCATATCGCATGAGCAAGAGAGCGAGACGAAGCATGGGATCTGGAGTAAAGGATAGAAGGGGCATCTTCAATGGAAAAGGTATTTTCCGATCTCAGATACCAGTCGTGCGCCTCGGTGAGGCACAGTCATATATTTGGCCGGGCCCGGCTTGAGCCAGGCACGGCAGCGGTACATGCTCGATTTATACCTCGCCTTTAACCTTCTCCGTTTAAAGTGAGGGCCCCAAGAGGCCGAAATCATCGATTTGCCAACGAAAAACGTATATGTTTAGCATGTGCGCTTTGTCGGCTTCCACGGCGTTGACGCCGGCCCAAGAGGCCCCCAAGACCGCCCCAAAACCGCCCCAAGAGGCTCCCAAGAGGCCCCCAAAACGGCCTAGAAGGGCCCCAAGACTTATGATGGCAGCGGCCTCCTCCAGGAGGGATATGGAGGTTTTGCTGGAAAGCGTAGTCAAGAGTGTCAGAACAGTCTGCAGGCCGCGGCGCTCAGGAGTCTCAAAACAGTGTCGCGGCGACACTGTCGCGCAAAAAAAAAGCGCAGGCCGCTCAGGCGACACTCGGCGCTGCCACGCCGCGCGCAATTTCGCAAACCCGCCCCGCCGAGTGGGCGGCGGGCTGGGGGCAGAGCACCCGTGCCGCGCGCTGCCGAACCAACGCGCGGCACATCAGGAAGCCAACGCGAGGCGCAAGAACCTGCGCAAGGGGGGGCACCCACGGACGCGAGCTCGCGCTCGGGCCACGCGCAGGCCGCTTTGGAGCCAGGCGAGGCGGCCTTGAGCCAAAATGGCCACGGACGGAGTGGAGGGGGATGGATGAGGAGGGAGGGGCGGGGGCAGCGGGGTGGTCCGGGGAGGGGGGGTGCGAGGACATAGCGGCGGAACCCCATAGGGAGTTCCATCGGGGGCCCCATTGCCAGCGGTCGCATTCGGTCCGAGGGTCCACTTCGGCGCGCTCACACGTTCCGCGCCTTCATAGAGAGCTCCACCGAAGGCGCCAGCGGCAGCGGTTGCCTGCGGCCCGAGGGCCCACTCGGACACGCGCTGGTTTTCGGAATCGCGCTCTCGCCTTAGGCACCTTCGCACCGCGGGCTCCTGGCGGGAAAAAGCGTCGGCCCACTCGGAATGAGAGGGGGTGGGGAGTAAGAGGGGGGGTTCGGCGGCGGCGACGGCGGCGGCGACGACGGCGGCGACGGCCGCTCGGGTGCCCCCCCCCGCTGGCGCGGCGGCGCCCTCGGGCCGCCCGTGGCGGCCTGCCCCCTCGGGTGGCCGCGGGCGGGGCGGGAAGCAGGAGGCAAGAGGGGGGGAGAAGGGGGGGGAGAGGAGGGGGGAGGGAGGGGGGGGAGGAGGCGGGGGGGCTAAGGTCGCGTGCCAACTCACGATGAAAACAGACGAGATGGAGAACAAGAACTAATGGCTCTCAGACCGATGCAAAGAACTCAACGAACAAAAACATCACCTCCTTGCCATTGTACATTGTAACAATGACAAGGAGGCGGACAGGAAAGCCAGAAAGGCCTCGAGGAAGGAGCATAATGGGAAATATCGTGAGGCCTCGGAGGGGAAGAAACGCAACGCTGCCAATAATGAACAAGAAAACGGAGCGCACGGGCCCCAGGGTAAGCAAAGTTGGGGGAAGAGAAAGGTGAGGAGGGGGAGAGGATGAGGAGGGGGAGGAGCAAAAGGGGGAGGAGGAAGAGGGAGGGGGATGGGGAAGGGGAGGGACATGAGGGCGAAGGGGAGAGGGGCGGGGGAAGGGGTGAGGAGGGAAAAGGGAGAGGGGGGCGGGGCGGACGAAGGGAGGCGGGAGAAGGGAAAAAGGAGAGGCCCCGCCGTCATCACGCCTTGTTCCATTTTCTCATTCCACCATCCTTCCTTCTCCTCCCTTCCGTCTCTGTTCCACTCCTCCGCCTCCTTCTCCTCCTCCTCCTCCGCCCCCCCCTTCCCCGCCGCCTCGACGCGGCTGACTTCGCCCTCTGGCGATGCCAGGGGCGTCGGGCGCAGCCGCGGGGGCACCCCGTCGGCCCGTCGGGCCCCTCTGACTCTGTCGGGCGCGGAGGGGGGGTAGGTGGCGACGGCTCGAGATCCGCGGGGGCGGGGAGCGGGGGGCAGGGGTTAGGCCGGTGGGGGATCGGGGGGGTGGGGTGGGCGGGAGAGTGGGGAAGAGAAATACGCCCCCTCGCCACACGTGTTTTTCTCCTCTGGCCTAGAGAGCTGGAGATACCGCGTCCTGACTGAGTCCAGTCAGGCCCCGATGCGGACCGACTCGCAACTCGTAACTGTCAGCCCGCATGCTGTCTGCGGGCTGGGACCTGGGCCGAGCCTGCGCGTGCGTGTGTGTGTGTGTGTGTGTGTGTGTGCGTGTGTGTGTGTGTGTGGTGTGTGTGTGTGTACCTCTCTGTCGTGCTGCGTGCTTGCACGCTGCGGGGGAGGGTGCTGCAGCGTTTTCTACACGCGCACCCAGCACCCGTGCTGACATGCACGCGCGGCGTCTGCGTGCGCTCGCTGCGTGCCGAACGCCAAAATGGCAGCTCGTTTCACCGCACCACTCGGCCCCAGGAAACCTAACTACACATTAATTTTGAATTACATGGCCAGCTGCACCCGCGCCAACAGGGTTGGATGCAAACGGTCCTGCGAAATGCCACGCTCCTTGAGGGCACTCGTCGTCTTTACGATCGTAGCCCTCAGCAACTGCTTGTCAGTCGCTTTCTTAAAAGCCATGAACAAACTGCCTGTCACAAGAGTCACCCACGCGTTGGTGATGATCTCTGACACCTTCTGGTAGTTCTGATCCCCCTCGATGCGCAATCCGTATTTCTCACCCTCGGACTTCCAGCGGGCCAGCGCCTTCCAAGAGGGAGGTGAAGGAGGGAAGGCCATGCAGCGGTATCTTAAGCTAACTGGTGCGCGGCTTTCCTTCTTTCACCTTCCTCCTCGAAACCCATCTGCGACCCACTGAACAACTTAATAAACAAACACAAAGATACGTCGGGCGTGAGCCCGAGCACGTTTGCACCAACATAACTGGGGGGGGCACACAGCCGCCTTCTCGGCAGCGTCCACATTCTTCTTCAAGGGGGCGATGGTCTTGCTCATCTCCGTGGACAAGATCGTGCTGTCGGCGTGGACCGCCAAGTTTTTCCACACGTGGAGGTTGGCTGGACCAGCGCTCAACCAGTCCGCGCCGTCGGGGAGGCCGTGCATGTAGGGCTCGATCTTCGCCGCTGTCGTCTGGGTCTCGGCCGATGCCACGTCGACGGCGTGCTGGCCCACCGTCTTCACCACGCGCCTCGCGTCCTCCACGTACTGGTGGATCTGCGCCCTCATGTGCTCGTGCAAGCTGATGTCCGAGTCGGCCTCGTCCTTGATGTAGGCGTCCAGCTTCTCCAGGAGGACGCGCAGGAGGGCAAGCTGCGGGTCCCCGAGATCCACCTGCTCCGCGATGAGCTTCTTCTCATCGTCGAAGAACTTCTGGACGATCGACTCCGTGGTCGGCCTCAGCGACCGACATGCGCTCGATGCCTCCAAGCTCCGCTGCTGTCCCTTCGTGGCCGTGCTCGGCAGGAAGTCGTGCAAGTGGTGCGCTGCCTGCATCGCGGCGTCCGCCATCTCCTTGTTCCCCTCGGGCACCGTCAAGATCTTCTTGATGAGGACGCAGGCGCACTCGCCGAGCTTCGCAGTCATCGTCGAATCCAAGTCGTCCTGTGTCATCTTGTCCATGATAAGGCGCAAGTCGTCGCGAAGGTTGACCGCGGTCACCGTGTCAGCGAATATGTCGTTGACCAGCGTGGTCAACTGGGCCCTGATGGCATCGCGGGCCATGGAGGCGTCGGCTTCGTCCATATCCGTCTTCATCTTCAGAAGCTCGACGTCCGACGGCATGGCGTCGACCGCCTTGCCCAACAGCTGGATGAACGTGCTCTGCTGCGTCTGCGCCAATGACCCCGTCGACGTGGCTGAGGCGACGCTGGCCGACAAATCTTTCAGCGCGGCCTTCACCTCCTTGACGACGGGGGTCGCGAGCTCGTCGTCCAGGGAGCACGCGACTTTCGGGATGGTGCTCAACGCCGCGGTGGCCGCAGCAACCGCCCCGTCGAAGTCCAGGGGGCTGCGCGCCACCGACAAGAGGGCGGACATGGATGCTGAAACCTGGGGGGCGAGCTCCATGACCATGACTTTGTCCTTCATCAGGGTCGTCCACGTCTTGTTGTACTCGGCGCACGCGCCGATGGCGATCGCCACCCCCTCCAGCCCGCTGAAGATGCCCCCGCGGTTGGGGTCGAGGGAGAGGATGTCGCTGTAGAAGGCGTCGATGTCGTCCGCCTTCCACGGGCCGGTCGGGTCGCAGATCTTGGCGACGCCGCCCACCATGGAGCCCAGCGCGCCCAAGAAGTGCGACGCGTCCTCGCAGAACTCCTCTGTGTCGGCCAGCAGATCGTCCATCAGCGAAGCCATCCGAGAAGAAATCGTCACGAGCATATCCTTCTTCTTGTGGCCTCCCTCGATCAGTGCAGTGTACACGCCGCTGATGAAACTCTGGTTGAACATGCGGATCTTCTCGGCCATCTCGAGGTCAATGAAGTGGAGCTTCGGCGAATCCGCAGTGAAGGTGAGGCCCGCTTCCTGAGGGGATGTGGGCCATGGCCACACCATCTCAAAGAAGAAGGTGACGTCGGTCATGGACTGGAGCTCGACTGTCATGCGTTCCTGGAACACCTTCTTGCACATGTTCTTCTTGACGACGGGCGGGATATCGATGGACTGGCGCAGGCGCTCGAAGGCGTCCTTGACATCGCCAGCCGAGGCGCTGAAGATGTTGGTCTCGTGAAGCTTGTTCGCGAGCTCGTACTTCGTCATGTGCAGGGTGAGTCTGTTCCACTGGTCCTTATCCTTGTCCCTCAGCCTTTTCAACTCTCCAGCGGCGTGGTGCGCTTGGACGCCCAACTTCCCAGCAGTGAGCACCTTCGACAACGGGAGCTTCGCAATCCACTGGTCCCCCTTGCCCACAGCGGGGCCCCCTGCAGTGGGGGCCTGGCTCGCCGAATCGTCAGCATCGATGCTGCAGGCGTTCGCCGCCGCTGCCTGGAGTCGGCCGATGGCCGACAGGGCGGATGGCACCCCGCTCACAGCGCTCCTCGCAGCACGTCGCTCCGCCATGACGTTGATCGTCGTCGCCGACAAGGTGCCCTTGCTGTAGAGCATGGGCGTGTGCGGAGAGTCAGTCTCGCCATCTCCCGCCCCCCCCGTTGGCGTGGACTCGATGCCGCCAGAGAGGACCGAGCACGCTCCTGACATGGTCATCGGCGGCGACATGGCGGGCACCCCGCCTGACGGCAACCCCCCGCCGCGGAGACGCCGCATCCCCATCGAGTTGGCCATCTCCTCCGTGAGGGCCAGGCCGGCGTCCTCGTGGGTCTTGAGGTTCGCGAGCAAGGTTGACGGGCCACTCGAGTGAGTCTGCTCGCCCATGCTCCAGTCGAACGTCCGCGTGCCCTGGGAGGCGAAGATGTGGTTCTCCTGCTTCATGTACACGCAGCTCTTCTCGCTAACGACGCCCATGCTGATGCTCAGCGTGCGCAGGAAGGACCACTCGATCGTCCACATGAAGAGCCATACCTCCTCGACGTCTAGGCTGTCCTCCGAGTGCAACATCATCGAGGGGATAGATTTCGTGTTCTTCTTGGTGGGCTTGAAGCCGCAATATTTGTGCAGCTCTGACCTCGACATGATGAGGGCCTTCCGCTTCACTTTCATGGAGAAGACCTCGCGCTTGCCCACCTCCTCGGGGAAGAACGGCCTCTTACCCTGCTTCTTTCTCTGCATCTTCCCCTCGATGAAATCCTTCTTGAATACTTCGTCGCTCCTGCTCGCGACGACGTCGGTGATCGTCATGAAGCTCAGGCTGTGGACGTAGACGTCGTCGCAACTGCGGCACGCGAAGACGGCCTCGTCCTCGTGGGCGCGCTTGACCAGGTCGTCGCACGCCTCGCGGCGGCAAACAATTGCTGTTAAACAAAAACTTGCTTCTCGGATCCTCGACCCCCCCCCCCTCAGCGCCCCGCACGCGCTCCGCCCCCCCTCCTCCGCCACTCTGCGAGCGACGGGGGGGGCGGGGGCGGGCGCAAGGGGGCGAGGGGGCAGGGACACTCTGCGAGCGACGGGGGGGGGCGGGGGTGGGCGCAAGGGGGCGAGGGGGCAGGGGGCAGGGAGAGGGGAGGAGGGAAGGGCGGAGGGAGGAGGGGAAGGAGCAGGGAGCAGAAAGCAGGAGCGGGGGGTTGTTGCTGTGTTGTTGTGATTGTTGTTGATGTTGTTGTTGCTATTGTTTCGACTGTTGTTGTTGTTGCTGCTGCTATTGCTATTGCTAGTGGTGTTGCTGCTGTTGTGTTGTTGTTGTTATTGGTTCGGTTTTCAGCTGGACCCTCGGCGCCTCGCCGCAGAGACCACACGTCGTGGACTTCGCACCGAGGCGGCGTTGGCGACCAGCAGCGGGCATCTCACCGTTGGAGCTGCGCTTGGCCATCTCCGATGCGAGCGGCTGGGCGTCGGGCGGCCGCGGTGCTGGTCGGGCACTGGCGGTCGGAGCACGCGTGCTCAAAGGCTCTGCGAAATTTGAGCCAAGAGGGCGACGCGACGCCGACGGTCGAACGGGGGCCCCTCGGGCCCCAGGGCGGCCCAGTGCCTTCAACAGCTGGGCCCCATGGCGGCCCAGGGCCCCCTAAGGCCCAGGTCCCGTTCAACTCGCAACGGCCGAAGCCATGGGCCCCAAAAGGTCAACGACGAAACCTATGTGGGGCCGTTGGTTGCGCCCAGGATAGATTTATAGCGCGGGCCCCATTTTCAAACTTAAAGCCCAGGCCGACTACGAGCTTGCCCCGAGAAGGGCCCCGATTTCGAGCAGCCAGATGCTTGTCTGCAGGACCCCTTGCTCTAATGATTATAATGTAAACGTGAAGCGGACGTAGCGGTGCCCAGACGGTCGGTCCAGGGCCTTTTCGGCGCCTTCTTTGCGACCCCCCTAGGGCGTAATTTGAACCCATCCGAAACATGTGTGTGTTTCGGCATTGCCCAATCCTGGGCCCTCTCGGCACGCTTCTTGGGGCTCCGAGAGGGCCCCGCGAGGGGCCCAGGATGGCGTTGATGCCAGAAACCCAAACACATATGTCATTGCTTGGCCCTCCGCGTCTGGAGCACCCTCTGGGGCATATGGGTGCCCTTTCTGAACCCTCTCAGAGCCCTCCCAGGGGCCTAAGAGGGACCCAACATGGGCACGATGCGGCTCCAATGGGGCCCAAGAGGGCCCCAAGGGCTCCCCACGAGGGTCCAACGTCGCGGGAACTGACCCTCTTCGCGGCCCCTCTCGGCGCCCTCTCGGGACACTCTTTGGGCACTCTTTGGGCACGCGGGGGTCCTCAGAGCCCCCCCCCCTGGCACTGTTTGGGCAGCTGAAGGTCTGAAGAGTCCCCCCCCTGAGACTGTTTCGAGACTTTTCGGGGAGCTGTGTTTTCATGTGTGTTTCGCAGTGCGCTGTTTAGCTACTTGTTTGAAAATGTTGTGAGATTGTTTTGAGACTCTTGGGAATAGGGCGGCGGGTGCCCAAATCGCTTCTGAGACTCTCCAAAAACACTATTTCGAGACTGTTTTGATACTTTTTGTATATTTTTTAGGGGGGTTCGGCGCGGGAGACTGTTTCGAGTCTTGTTTCGAAGCTGTTTCGATACTTTTTCTGTACTTTTTGAACGGCTCCCCAAACCCCCAAACAGTCCCAAAATAGTCTCAAAACAGTCTCAAAACAGTCTCAAAACAGTCTCCTGGCCAAAAACGGCACCAAAAAGTCCCAACACAGTCTCCAAAAAATATCAAAACAGTCCCCTTGCGACCGCCGCCCTCCCCCCCGTGCCAGGCCCCCAGAACGCGCAAAAAAAAAAAAAAAAAAAAAAAAAAAAAAAAAAAAAAAAAAAAAAAAAAAAAAAAAAAAAAAAAAAAAAAAAAAAAAAAAAAAAAAAAAACGGAAATAATCTCAGACAGAGTCTCGAAAAAGTCTCGAAACAGTCTCCATCCGAATCCTTCGAACAGCTGCCCCCGAGAGGGCGCCAACAAAGAGTCTCGCAGTCCAGCGGAGTCCCAGGAGGAGTCTCAAGAAGAGTCTCGGTGCCAAAAGAGTCTCCCAGGGGAGTCTCGAAACAGTCTGAGGGCACAGAAGGCCCCCCCCATGGGGAGACCTCCAGGAGCACCCCATGGCGCCCCAGCCACACCGACTGGCCGAAGGGCCGTCGTCGTCGCCGTCGTCGCCGCTGTCACCCTTATCACACTCGCTGTCGTCGCCGCCGTCGCCGCAGCCGCCGCCACAGTGCACAGGGGGGTCCTCATCGCCCCAAAGGGCGCTCCAAGATGCGCCAGCACGGCAATGATGACTGCACTTACCGCAGGACGGAGTCTGAGATGCATGAGCTCGCGGGCCAGACATGACGAAGCTGAGGAGAGGGGCGGCGGCGAAAGCCAAGAGAGGGCGCCAGACGGGGAGATGGGGGTGACAAATCACCTCGAACCGTTGCCCATCCACTTGCCAAGCCCAGGCTGTCAGGCACGGGGCACGTCGCCACGCCAAACCTCGGACAGATCCGTTCAGCGATGGGGGAAATGCAAGTGCTGCAAGCTTTGGCAATGAGTTTGCGCGGCGCCAAGATTAAGGCGAGAGCGTAATTTGAACACCACTCGCCCTCCATCAGTGTAGCTGATGCAAGTTGTAGACGAGCTCAGGCGAGAGCCGCAATTTGAAAACCGCCCGCCTTCCATCCGCGTCTGCTGCGGATGTTTAAGATGAGCGTGCGCGGCGCTAAGACGAGAGCCCCCGCCTCAACGTCGACCCCTGTCCCCCTCGCCCATCGTCGCCCCGGCCGCCCCTCTTGCACGGCAACCTATAAGGGAAGCGGGGGCCTCACCCCCTCCTCATTTCGGTTGTCCCTCCTCTTCCCCCTCATCACCGTTCCCTGGCATCCTGCTCCTCCATCTCCCCCCCACACCCCTTAATCGTTTTTTCATCGCTCATCGGGAGGACGCCAATCCCTCTGGCTCCTCGGGCTCTCCAGGGCGCTGCGGGCGCTCCTTCGACATGAGATCCAAACCACCTGGCAGGCCACGAAGGAGCTCCCGAGCACGCCGCCTCATGTACGGACGCAGCGTCAGGAGTGCGAATTTGTTTTTGTGCGACGGCTTGTCGTCACAGACCTCCCCAAGGTCCAGAACCCACGATACTAACAAGCCAAGTGGGCGGCCCTGCGCCGCCAAATTCTCAAGATCGCTGCCGTACGCTGCTGCGCTCATTGTGCAGCGGCCATGGCCACGATGGCACCTGGCCTCGAAACACCTGCCTTTCCTGTAATACACAATCGTACCTTTTCCTTGGACATTGACAGCATGCTGCACAGGCTCGCGGCTCGCCCGCGACCCCACCTCTGAACGGGAGGCCCGAGAGACAGGAGGCGGGGGCGGAGGCAACGGAAAAACAGGCGGTGGCATAGGGGCCTCGGGCGGCAGCGGGACCTCGCCGCCGCCGTCGTCGCCCTCGCCCTCGCTGAACAACTCGTCGATGTCCACGCCGACCTCGTCCTGTGCGGATCGAGGGGCAGGAGGGCGATGCAACCCCAGCCCTCCCACTCCACCCCAGACCCACAGAGGAGGCCTGCCGAGACGGCCCGACACGGCTCCAAGATGACCCCCAAGAGGCATACATATGTTCCTCGTGTTGCTTCCGCCTCTTCACATCATCTTCCTCCCCCGTAATGTGCATCTGTTCATCTTACCAGGGATTGCTTCACATCCTGCCTGCCTTCCACCGCCCCCTCCCTAACCCCCTGTCGTCAAACCTCCTCGGCACCTCCCGCTCTTGGGGACGTGTAGGGCCGTTTCGGTGGCGTGTCGGAACCTATCGGGGCTTGTTTGTGATGTGTTAGAGCCGTTGTTTTGTTTTACGTGTTGCTTGATTGGTGTGCTTTTGTTTGAAGCGCTGCTGTTTTACACTTTCCACACCGTTAACCTAACTAGCTAATGTGTTAAATGTAGAGGCCTCCCCACCTTATGATTCGGCGATGCTTGCGGGAACTTGCATTCAAGTATGCTGTCCTCGCCACTAGCGCGGACGTCGTCCGCGCCGCCGTGGTCGTCGCCGCCCACGGGCCCGTCGTCCAGGGGGAGGGGGTCATCCAGGTCCTCCTCCTGGTCCGACGCGATGCTCCCGCGGTCGCCGTCGTCGCCCGTGGCGGCGGGCCGCGCAGCTGTGGCCCGCCTCGTAGCCTTCCCTGACTGCCACAGCTCGGACTCGGGGCCCATGGAGACCACGACGACGTCGGCAGGGCGAAAACGGGAAACGGCACGATCACTCTCGTCGATGACCCAAAAGCTGATCGACCCAATCGGCCGTGAGGTCCAAGCTACTGAACGCCCCCCAATCAACCAAAGACTCTGTGGCACCCTTCGTGGGGGAGTAACTATAGCAATGACGGAATCACTCTCACCCCATCCCCCATCATCCTCCCCCCATCGATCCCTATGACCCTTTTTCCGACGAGCCCCCATTGCGTTCCCCTCGCCAGTGTCGTCCTGGTCTGTCTCGTCACACCCTCCTCTTCTCCCTCGTCCCCTGTGCCCGTGCCTGCGTGCCTGCATGCGTGTGCGTGCGTGCGTGTCTGCCCGTATTTGCGCGCGCCTACGAATATGCGCACGCGTGCGTGCGCGCGCGTGCGTGCCAACGCGCATGCGTTTACGCGCGTGCGGCGCACGCGCGTAAACGCATGCGCGAGCGTGCGTGCACGCACGCGTTCGTGGTGGGATGAATGTGTTTCCGTTCCGCTAACGACTCCTCCAACAATACCTCCACCTGGCCGCCGACGGCCTCCTGCTCGTCGACGGCGAGCGGCCTGAAGTTGGAGCAGTAGGGGCTGAACTCGTGGGAGCCGATGTGCCACCACACGTAGGCGTCCACGCCGTCG